GCCTGAAAAAGAACCTTATAGACTGTTAATAACTTCTACTGCCTGCCAAATTACACTGATTGGCAGACAGTGATAGGTATATAATTTTAGCAAAGGAAAAGACTAAAATGTAGAACTTCACATCAAATGTGAAAATGGAGAAAAAAATCCAAATAGGTATACTTCTGTTGCTTTTTCTCTTTAATATCTCAGTAGAAAATGGCTAATGTCTTGCCTCTGGTCTCCTTTCACTGGGGGTAAGCTGTATAGGAAGCAAGTGGGCAGACTTAAGAAGTCAAAAGAGAGACAACCGTATGACAGATGAGAAATGTCTGAAAATTTCTCCATAAATCAGAGACAAACTGATGTAATCACAAAGACAGGGTACATGAGCTTCCAGATAGCTACAGGAGGAAAACACCTTTTCTATGGGGGGGAAGCAGGGTGTGTGTGCTAGAGAATACCAGGCAGATACTACTTCAGGATAAGGGAAGGGGAACAATACTTACAAAATAGGACTGCAAAAGACTGTATCACTGTTAAGCAATATTAGCTTGATAAGACCCCAGGAACACAACAGATGCTCAATAAATGCATACTGAGTGGAATATTTCTTTCAAAGTGCCATATTCTCTCCATCACTGTAGAAGTAGACCTTATGTCCCTAGAAATATTACTGAGTATTATTGCTAAACAGACAATGGGTTATCAGAAGTTTTTGTACTAATTTTCTTAACAAACTGCAGGTCTCAGTTTTCTAGGCCCAAATTTTACATGAGGAGCAAGCTGACTTTGGCTATGGCTCTCCTGTGACTGATGGATTTGACATGTTAGTGTGTCTGATGCTGGAAGAGTCAGTTAGTGGCTACAACACTCAAACCATGATGTTCTAGTTTGGATTTCTGTGCAAGTACATTGGACAACTGATCATATCTAAGCAACCAAATGACTGTTTCCATATTCTGTATATGGATGACTTCCCTATTCAAACCCAAATGCCTCTAGAAGTGAGTGAGCTGGGCCAGTGTAAGGCAATAGGGTGTACTGTAACCAAATGGAGAACACATGTCAATCTAAAAGTAGAGGCCAGGGCTTCCCTGGTGGCACAGTGGTTGAGAGTCCGCCTGCTGATGCAGGGGACACGGGTTCGTGTCCCGGTCTGGGAAGATCCCACATGCCGCGGAGCGGCTGGGCCCGTGCGCCATGGTCGCTGAGCCTGTGCGTCTGAGGCCTGTGCTCCGCAACGGGAGAGGCCACAGCAGTGAGAGGCCCATGTACTGCAAAAAAATAAAAAAATAAAAGTAGAGGCCATCACTCAGCTCCAGCTGACTAATGACAAAAGTTTTGCTTATGGGCAGGAGCAGACACAGAACTGTTTCTTGAAGAAGATCTGGGATTATTCAACACTGCTGTGGAGGTCATACTTCTAGGGGATGATACTGATGTCTTCTAGTTTACACAAAAGGAGCTCAATCATACCACCTGTTCCTTTGGTTTCTAAACAACAGGGTTCTCATTCAACCAATACCTCACAGGTCCTCCTTTCAGCCCTCAGTCACAGACCATAACAATCCGATGGGCAACTCTCCCCTCCGCCCCCCCAATAAAACCAAACCCAACAGAAAAGAGAACGAATATTTATGGAGAATGTTCTTTCCATCTATTCATCTAGGCTAATGTTTTCAAAACTCAAAAGTTCTTGAATTCTCTGTGAATATTTTTTAACCTTCTGTGTTCACTGTAACGCTTTTCTTAAAAAATAACGTAAGCATATGGATCACCTGGATGGCAGCTTAGGAGCCGGGTGCTGGCAGGCAATCTCTGTTTCTGCACATGGGGTTAGTTAACATGCAACCCACTGTCTCCTGAACTGGGGTTCCCAGATCCATTCCTACATGTTCCTACATGTTTGGGGGTTTCTCAAAATCAATAAATAGTCCTCTAAGCACCCAGGTTCCAGCCGGGTGTCAAACTCACCTCTGAAAACTGCTTTCGCTGAGGTGTATTTTAATATTTTGCTTTTGCTTTTTATTGAGAAGAGCAGCCAGAGGAAATCTGTTTCCACATTTAAGGGATTAAAGCAACTAAGGATAGGATCTACTGTGTCATCCAGCGCTCTCTTTTCAAGCTTCCATATGAGCAGAGGGTTGCCCTGTTCAGCAGGCTTCTTGTCTCTAAAAATAAGAACTGCAGATCTGATTCTATCTCCTTTTTCACTTTGATGGCCAGGACGCTGGGGGCCTAACTTGACATTTAACTCCAACAATTAAATAGACAGATGCTATGGCCTGCATACCTGTAGGCACTTTATTTTTGCTTTTCATTTTCAACTTTTACATACAACTCTACGGTTCTGATTCTCTTTTCTCATTAATATTTTACCACTATGTTATTGTATCTGTTCTCAGTGTAAAGTTGCCTCAAATCCTTTGTGCATAATCAAGGCTTTATATATATATATATATATATATATATATATATATATATTTATTTTTAATATAACTTTTATATATATGGCTTATTAAAATATGTATATATAAAATAGACCTCTGCTCATCTGGGCAATGATAATGAATTTTTGATATGTAATATCCTCTAATGGTGACCTTATGACAACAGTAAGATTTTCCCAGGGCACCAGTTGCCAAATAAACAAACAAACACATACACTTACATACGAATATATGTATGTGTGGAGGGGAGGTGTGTGTATGTGTGTATGTATATGACAAAAAAAGTGAAATACAGGCTTTGAGACAGAATTCCATACACACTATTCTGTGGGATTTTGAATCTTCAGAGGACTGTAGTTTCTAGTCTCATCTACAATTGAATGACTAATATAGAAATAGACACACTGTAGCAGGACACGAAATAAAGCAAAGATCACCCAACCAATTTATGGTGGCAAGAAACAGGCAAACACCAGAAATCCTGTGACTGCTTTGTCATCTCAACATTTTCTCACAGCTGAAGGCAAGTCCTGTTCCTGAAGTGACTTCTATAAATGGGCTCTATAAATGGGGGCAAGGGCACTGAGGGGGCGGGGGGCAGTTATCAACTGTCCAACCGTATCACACTGGGGAGAGATGTAAAGTTAATGTCCTGATGAGAAAGTCATGACACTTGGGTTTCTATAATCAAGAAGCAAGGAAAGAAGAAAGGCACTCCTCTAGAGGTGATATTTCCTGGGGACAAGAGACCTAAGATTAAAGCGTAGGGCAGTAAAGATGGTGAATTCCCACAAAGTAAGCCCTCTATGGGCTGATAATTAACAGCCACTCTAGAGGGAACTAAGATGATATGAATCAGATCACTTGCTCACTCACCCACCCAACTACGCATCAGAAGCTGGGTGCACTCTGAGAGGCAGGCAATGTGCTAATAACACAGACACAAGGATAGATTCTCTGTTCTCTGGCAGTTCAGATTCTAGCATGAGAGAAAGACATGCAGAGGAATGAATACTGGAAGGAAGCACATCTGAGATGCTGGGAGCCCAGGACAAGAACCAACTATTTCTGTCTCAATGGTACAAGTTAAATATTCACAAAATGTCACCTACAATCAACTAACTTCAGCAATACCAGAGGCTTGGCCATTTGCTGGTGGTTAACAGACATTACTACTGGCTGGATAATAACACGGGTGGGGAGAAGCACTGAGAAGAGATTTATGCACATGGAACTTTTCCTGCGCCTCTCCCTGCATGCTTGTATTTATAAAGGTCTTTAAGTCAGGAGCCTCCCCTCACCTTCTCCATCCCCCTGCCATGTCCAGAACAGCATCTTTGGATATGAACAGGAGGTGGGCACACAAAATTATAAAGACTATTTGCTCTTGAGGCACAATTTCAAGTGCTTCACATATAAAACCTCATTTAATTTACTGTTATTCACTCCATTTGACAGATGTGGCAACTGAGGCCCAGGGAGACCAAGGGATGCCCAAAGTTACACAGCTACTAAGTGGAGGAACTAGTTTTCAAACTGAAGTCTTTTAATTGTAGTCTATGTTCTTTTCTAACCACAAAGCCATACTACAAGTATTTCTTCAAAGCAAAGCAAAGCAAAGCAAAACAAAACAAAATATGCAGCCACTGGACTAAAAACTACAGGACTCGGTGAAACAGGTCTGGACTTTAATATAACCTTTTCTTGTGGGGGAGGGGCAGCTTGGGAGGAGGGCAGAAAATCTTCTGAACCCTGATTTCTTGTAGGCAGCAAATATGGACGCTTCTATATGCATAATTTTGTTCTATTTGTCCAAATCCAAAATCATTTTCCTTGTGTGTCTAGGTGTTGACTAAATAATGTCCTCTAAAATTACTGACATTTCACTTACTTGAGTTTATTCTTTGTTTTTCTTCTGAAAATTCTGATGGAGGGACATGTTTTAGGCTCTCCTCCCTTCTAGCATCGAAATTCAATAAACGCCAGGTCATCACACACCAAGGGAGAAAGGTGGATTCTATTTGAAGTAATCTTATGACTGAAGGATCGTTTTTCTGGTCCACAAGGTTCCAGCTCCAACTAGGCCAATACTACTGACCAAGTAATGGCCAGAGGTGTTTCCTCTAAGTAGGAAAATGCTAAACTAAAGGAACAGTGTCTTTTCTCTTTCAAATTGTGGACACTCCAATGTGGTGTTAGTTACAAAGATTACCTCTGACAATAATGCAATGAGATCTTGAATGATAGGAGGGATACGACCACATTTTCCATGATCCTTTTCTTGCAAAATCCTAAAATTTCTGAACTACCGAAACACAGCAGAATATGATGGCTACATGCAGTCTGTGATTACACTTCCAAAATGCTCTTTCTAATGGATGGAATGATGATTCCTTTCCTAACTTTCTCTACTGCCTAGTGGGATCTTAAACAAATATTCTTTCTGAGTTTCATCAAGTCCCTGAGTATATTCTCTGCCTTTTAAAAGACAGAAACAGCTAGATTGAACCCTCCCTCCTCCTCCTGCACAAATGTACACTCTCTGAGAACAAGAGAAACCCCACGTACCATTAACACATTCAAAGACATCACAGCACTTTCCAGGTGTCCCATCTCCACGAGAGACTATGCGGGGAGTGGATCCCACCTCACACACGGGGAAACCACATAAGCCAGAGAGACACTCGCATCTGAAACCAAAGAAAAGGGAAGGAAAACCCCATGAATAAACAACAACATAGAAGTCGGGAGACCACAAACAAAGTGGCTGTGGAAAACTATTCACCCCTCTCTATGACACTGTCCTGTTTATCTGGTGTCGCTGGGGAATGGGGGGCGGGTCCTAACATAATTGGCATTCCAAATAACTAAGGCTCATCTCCTTAGTATACGCCCAGATATTTAACGTTAACCATTTTGACAGAAATATTCCTAAAATGCATTACTTCATTTCTTACTTAACCAGACTGGTATTGAGCATAACAAACATTTTCTTGATGACTCAGGGCCATCTTTACATGCATACATTATCCTGTTACTCCAGACATCAGTGATGCTTACACGGTCTGACACAGAATGATGCTCCTGCGTTAAATGATTCTATGTTGCTACTTGGTTGCTGTTGACCTTTAGGTGTTTTTCAGCAAATTTCCTGACTCGTCTTTCAACTAATAGGTTATTAGTTTGGCTTTTTTTTTTTTTTTTAATCTTTGTGATTGTGTCTAGTAGCATCCTCCTCTGGAGCTACATTAATTAATTTATAATTGTGTATAATAAAAGAAATAGATTCTGATTGAAGACCGAGGAGCTTTATAAATAAAGGGCATAAGCTTTAGCAAATGGAGTTTGTGACAGCTATCTGGAAGCTGAAAGTCTTAATGTTTTGGATCTTCTAGGCTGCATGTGTGCATTTCTCTGAATGCAAACTACCTCTGTTGGCTCTCACCCTTAACTTCAACTCCGCTGCAAAAGTTGCCTGACCACAGGAAAATAAGAGGCAGGTAAATATAAGAGGAGAAAAAGATATTGTCAACTGCCTGATGTTGATGTGTCATAATGAAATAAGAGGCAGGAAATGAGAAGCTCAGGGCAGGAGGGTGTCAGGATGTAACTGTAATACAAGGAAGGAGCAGCTAGACTCTGCCCTGGGACTCCCCTGGCAATGGAAGCGTGGGTCAGAGGGTAGAGACGATGACTAAGGGAGTTCCCAGGTTGGCAGGAGTGAAAGGAAGACATCCTAAAAAGAGACATCCTTGCCAGAAGTATGTGGGTATTTATGTACCAGAGAGGCCAAGATCAGGGGAGGGTAACATTCCCAGCAAGGAAGAACCATTAGCACATTAATTCTGTTTTTTCCCTCTTCTTATTTGATTGTTTTGTTCTATTTTTCTTTGGATCTTTCATAAATTAAAATATGACTGTTGTCCACAAGTACTTCCATAATCAGGCCTAGAGGTTTAATGACATTTATAGTTAACTGTGGAACTAAAAAGGAAACGAATTAAGTTAAAATTTGCACCAAACACCATTAAAGCCACTGGAAAGGTGTGAATATCCCCTCTCAGGCTTCTTCCTTGTGGGGAGATGGTTATATACGGATTATATTGGAGAAGAGGGTGTTAGGTAATTAAAGTTTTGCTGCAATGGTATTTCTGACTATGGTTTAAAATAAATGTTTGGCTGTTTTGTGTGAGCAAAGCCAGGAGCTCTTGATTCATAATCTCTATTCCTACAGGACAATCACCTTCTACAGCTGAGTAAATATGAACTGAGCTTTTAGTCCCTGGTAAGGTTATCCCACAGTCTCTCATTTTTATGTGCCTAGGCACTGCAGTTTTAAGTAGATGATCATATCCCTGTGACATTACAGTAACAATATTTATTGCACTTGACACTCTGTACAACTTAAACTCTTCAGAGTTAACAGATTAATGGGGGTAGAGTACTGAGAGGCCCCACCCTGATCCCAATATCTGGATGTCATTACAATGAAAGCATCCTACAAGAATAGCTGACTAACCTTTTTCCACATCTTTGGGAATTCCCCTTCTCTCCCACTGACGTGTTCGAGGAAATTACTTTAGGTTAGACACCAAGGAGCGTACGATCAACCAATAAATACCTCCTCTGATGCCTTTCAACCCTTCAGAGACCTTTCCTCAACACTTGCGTGCCAGGCTTTCTGCTGGGCCAACAGAAATCACACCAACCTGAAAACCATGACTAAGTTTGCCCTTTTTACCGCTTTTGACATTTGATCTATTTCCCAACACTGAAACATCTCTCTTGTTTTCTCAGATCCATACAGGTTGTCTCCAGCATGTTGCAGAAGATCTAAAACTGCACAACTGCCTAGTGACCCACTTAGGAAAGGAAAACCCTTTAGGTTGAATTTTTATTTCTAAACCCAGAATGACTGCACACTGAAGACCCAAGGTTTCAGATGCCCTGGTTTTGGCCGGCAGGCTTGCTCCCAGCTCCTTTCCCTTCTCTACCAGCCCCTTGGAAAGCCCTCCCTACTTACTGCCACCTTTTGATTCTTCACAGCTTCCCCGAACCTAAGATTAGCAGATGTTCAAGACCATTAGCACCTTAATAAAGAAGGAACTTATGAAGGAATCAGAAAAGGTTAAAATCTGGGCTGTCATCAGATATCTATCGAGCAAGTATCTATTAGGTTGAGACTTCACGAAACTGCTTTCTTTGTAGATCAAAAATAGTCAAATAGCAATTTCACAGAGTTCAACATAATACAACTCATGTGAGTTATTTTTCGACAGTCTACACACACTCTCAGGTAACAAACGGGGGCCTCATCAGGACCCTTATTTGCCAAGGAAATTTATTATGTCTATACATAATAAAATCAAACAAGGTTTCCTATCCTGTATTTTCCACTAGAAGAGCCTAGAGGGCACTCCCCTAGAGTCTTCTTGTAGTGAGTCACTGAATTACGGAACAACTGAAGCACTCAGACAGAATCTTGCCCTCATCACCTTTTCTCTTCATTCTTATTATTTTTTTGGTCCCTCCTCCCAATCTCCCTTTTACCCTTTACCACAATGCCTGGATAAACAGCAAGCAATGGAATGGAGAAAACATGTGGATTGGTAGCTAAGGAAACAGACTAACTTATGAGTAAATCGATGTCCACACTTACCCCTCACTTCTAAAACCTTCCCTCCTCCAACTTCTAGGTTCCGACCTGGTCTCCTCTCACCAAAGTCTCCCTTTCTCCCAGTTCATGCCACGCCCATCCTATGGCTCAGTTTTTGTACTTCTGTAGTCAAAAACCTTCAGTTACTCTTCATTTAACTGATCAACTTCTCAGCCTAGCATTCCACACTCTCAAGTCCACAGATCTTTATTCGAATTCAATCTCGCAGTATTTCTCTTCATTCTCCTGATGCTACAGTCACCTTCTATTCTCCAAACAAGCCCTCCCTTTGCTGTCTTTCCACTGCTCACCCTACTCTCTCCTGAACATTCCTTATCTAGCCCTCATCTCCAGCTGTCTGTCTAGATACCATCTGCCTTTCCAGGCCAACCTCAGATAATAGCTCCTCTCTGAAACCCCAAATACCATACTTCTCTTAGGACATCTGAAGCAGAAGTGCTAAGGGTTTTTAAAGAAAACAAATAAAATAACAATTTTACTGAGATACAATTCACATACTGTAAAATTCACCCTTTTAAAGTATACAATTCAATGGTCTTTATATTCACAGGGTTGTGCTACCATCACTGCTACCTAATTTTAGAACATTTTCATCATCTCATAAAGAAACCCTGTACTTCCCATTTATCCTCTCCCAGCCGCTGGCAACCACGAATCTCTATTCTTTCTCTATGGACCTACCTATTTTGGTCAGTTCACATAAACAGAATCATGGGCTAAGGGCTTTTCAACCTCCAACAAGAAGCAACTTGCGTTTGCCATTTGCCTGAAAAATCAAGCCTTTAATGTTATCCTCAGTATTAAGATAATCATCAGTCAAGGTACCAAACTAATAAATGTCTGCATAATGTAATCACGGCTGCAGCCAGGTAGGTTGGTGAAGCTGTCTTTTTTTCTCTCTCCAGTAGGTAATGGATTCAGCTTAGTGGGTATGTGGGTGGTGGAGTACAAAGACGAACAGCACTCAGAGAAATCATCTAAGCCCCTAGAGGGCACTCCCCTCCTTAGGAGGCCCACGCTGGCTGGCTCTGCGGGCTCAAAGGCAGTGCACACTAATACATTCCCTTCCCGTCGTTTGTTTCCTGGTCTACACAGACAGTCCCAGAGTCCTAGCACAGCTTACAAGGTGCTCCCAAGTCTAGGCTCTACTTCTCCTCTAGCTTCCACATTCTACTGGCCCCTCTACATGCTCCTACACACGTGAGTAACAATGGCAATCTGCCATTCGCTGAACCCCTACACCCACTCCCGTCACTCAGCGCCGCAGCGCAGCGTCCACTCCCGTCACTCAGCGTCCACTCCCGTCACTCAGTGCCACAGCTCAGCGCCCACTCTTCCTCAAATCCCTGCCTCTCTTTTGCCCCAGGTGAATTCCACACAGCCTTAAGGCCACCGCCCTACAAGGCTTTCTCTGACCAAAAAAGCAACCAGGATTAGTTTTCTCTCCTCTTGGAGTGGACCTGTTCCTCCTATGAAGTCAAAATCCTACTCTTTCTCCTGTGAATTCCCCTAGTGCAGGGGCATGTCTTATTTGTCTTGTAAATGAAAAAATGAATGACATAAAGACATCCAAACAATAATCTAGAATAAACTTTTTGTTTTCATGGCTAGTAAGTCAGAGGTTAGGCCATGCATTGTTTTTACAGTTTTTATGTTTATAAATTTTAAACTCAGGGCTAATTGGTGCAGTGCTTTTCAAAATCAGTCTGTGGAGGGAAAGACTATGGAATTTGTTTAGAATGCGGATTCCAGGGTACCACAGTCATAGACTGTTTCTCAGAGTCTGGGGCAGGGCTCCAGAATCTGCCTGTATAATAAGCTCTCCAGGAGGCTCCACTGGGGGGAATCTGGGACCCACTTTCTGAACAACTTGCTCCTAAAGGTGCAGTGTCTCAATCATCACAGTTTAATTTGCACTTTCCATTGGAAAAAGCTATGTACAACTAGTTTTATCATTTTAATTAGTAGCACATTTTGATTAGTAGCACTTGCTCCTGCCTGAATACAGTTGCC